TCATTCTTTGTTGTTGTTTAGTGTCTCAAGGCTTATAGCTAAACTGAATTTGAAACTAAATACTGTCATTACAGAAGATTTTTTTCCTGAGTTCTTCCAATTTCTCTGGGGACAAAATAATGGTCGCTTGAAGCAGTGGAGAAACAGTAATTAGGGCAAATAGTAATACTGTGTGTGATTGAGGAAAATGTGAAGAAGGGAGGGAGAACATGCAACAGACAGACTTGTACAGCTTGTTACTAGGAAACCACATCAGCATTAAATACAGTGTGCTAATTGGCTATCCTGTTTCTGCCTGGGTACCAGCCTGGGCCTGCTACACAGCTGTTTCTGCTCTTTCTTGTTGCTAGGTAACTGCATCATTTCCCCCCCCCCCCCCTTTGTATTCTGGAGGGTAATTGGCTACTTCTGCTCCTGGTGTTGCTGCTGGGTACCAGTCTGGGCCTGCTGCTCTGCTGTTTTCCAGAGGGATTTAATGGGGGGAGGGGACGGAAAGGGAGAGGAAGATATGCTGGCAATTAATGGAGCATAAGTGCAAATTCTACACAATGTCTGGCACCTGCGTCCCCTCATCCTGCTTTCTCAACTAAATCCTTTAGCTATGAAAACACATTAGAATCTTGAAGTCTTTCTGTTCTTCAAATACCTTTTGAATATAGTTTAAAAGAAACAAGACATTTGAAGACTTAGCACCTAAATGAGGGATTTGGTCTTCTCAAAAGCTGGCAACATATTACACATGTATGTTTGATATGGACACTAACAGAATTTGCACAAACATTAAAATTGCTAGCTTAATAACAAAGCAATATCTTTAATGCCTTAAAGATAGAGTCACTTTATCTCCTAAGTGGACCAAATTCTTTTGTAGTGACTCTTCTTGATAGCATACAGAGTATAAAGAAATAAAATAGACTAAAAGTATTATGGGATTTCCCTGTTTTATGCATTTAGGGCACATAAAGGAAGGTTTCTAGTCCCTTCTGACTTTCCTTGGTGGTTTTAATTCCCCTGATGTGCACAGTGTATGTCTCCATGATTTGGGGTGACACATTGAATTTACACAGAAATAAACACGTGTTGCATACCTTAGCTTCTTTTCTGATGGCAAAAGAACAAATGGCATGTGAAATAAATATGGAAACAATTTTTGATTTAAAAAGAAAGTAAAAATTATAATTAATCTCTATAGTTGTCATTTCCTGTGTTAAGAAGACGTGTCCTTTTCATCTTTATGAAATTCTTGGGGCGCCGGATTCTGTCCCGGTTGCCCCTCTTCCAGGCCAGCTCTCTGCTATGGCCCAGGAGGGCAGTGGAGGATGGCCCAGGTGCTTGGGCCCTGCACCCCATGGGAGACCAGGAGAAGCACCTGGCTCCTTCCTTCGGATCAGCACGGTGCACTGGCCGCAGCAACCATTTTGGGGGTGAACCAACGGCAAAGGAAGACCTTTCTCTCTGTCTCTCTCTCTCACTGTCCACTCTGCCTGTCAAAAAAAAAAAAACAAACTATATAAAGGACGGCAAAAGAAATTCTCACTGGAAGTGTGAGGAGGAAGATGCTTCATAAGTGAGGTCGTGCTCCAAGGAACTTGCACTTTCAGTAGTTTAGAAAGTGCGTGTATATTGGGACCCCCTGAAGAGGCAACCTCCTCATCCCCCTGGGAAAGAGCTGTTTTATTGAGGAAGCTCAAAGCCTGTTGTGTGACTGTGCACAGAGATAGTTAGCAAAGACAGCTTTTATTTGACACTAATGGCTGATGCTGTTTCCCATACTAATGCGATCTGCTATCCCCTATCAAAATTGAGGCAGGAGGAAGTCTATTCTGAATGACAAGCCCTTCTACTATAAGATCAGATCAAACTCTGTATAATTATTTCTGCTTAAAGTATCCTTAAAATAGATGGAAGGCCTTAAGCTAGGCTAGGATGATGGAGAGAATGTAGCCATATTCCATAGACCTTATGGAACCCAGTTAGCCATTAGCAACATATTTTTTAAAGATTTTATTCATTTATTTGAGAGGTGGAGTTACAGGCAGAGAGAGGGAGAGACAGAAAGAAAGGTTTTCTATTGCTGGTTCACTCCCCTAGAATTGGCGCGCATATGGGATGTCAGTGCTGCAGATGGAGGCTTAGCCCACTATGATACAGCACTGGCCCCAGGTGTTAGTAGCTTTTAACTGTGAAAGAAAACCCTATACCAGAAGATAATTCCAGATCAGGTATAGTATTATTTCTGCTATCTTTATCTGAAGGGCCAGTTGTTAGCCACTCAAAAGTATTTGTCCAGTAAAGGATTTAGCCATCTAATTAGTGAGGAGCCATTGGAAGTAAGAAAATTCTCATCACTTGACAGATTTTATATTCTGACTTTGGGAGGTGGGTGATCTTGACTGTGCAAGTGTTTAGTCTTTGTTAATGACACATTGTCAGAACAACAAAGTTTTGAGTGCATTGTGGATCATCCCTATTTGACTTGGGGTTAAAAAATTCACAGAAGTCCTGGGTGTTTGTCTTGCTTTCCTTACATACTGATTGAACTGAGTGACCTGTCCTCACTATGGCACTGGGAAACCCAAAGCAGGGGTCTTTGAAGGCTCATGTGGTCGTGGTTAGTCCCAGTAATAAATGTTTCTATTCTTCATATTCTTCTGGAATGGAAAATCATTAAAATATTTATTTATTTAAAAGTTGGGAGTAGATATCTTTCATCTGCTGTTTCACTTTCTAAATGCCCACCAAAGCTAGGCTGGGCCTGGCCAAAAGTCAAGAGCCAAGAACTCCACAGGATTCTCCCACCTGTGAGGCAGGGACAAGTACTTGAGCCATCATCTGCCTCTTCTCAGGGTTTACATTGGCAGAAAATTGAATCAGAAGCAGTAGCTGGGTCTCCAACCAGGCATTCCAAGATGGTGTGAGACATCTCAAGTAGTAGCCTAAATTGCTCTGCAACAATGCCTGCCCTGAGCAGATATTTTTCTTTGGAAGTCTTCATTATTAAAGCCATGGGGGAGTGCAGGCACAATGCTTTAGGAGAAGAGGAGAGGAGATAATCCATATAGCTGCTTCAACTTTTGGATTCTCCCAGGTCCCCCAAAATCTGCTTTGCTAATACTCATGGCTATACACAGCTACTTTGTTTTATATCAGGTAAGTCAGATGATAAACCTGGGAAAGAGGAATTGGGTGGTGGCTAGATCCCCAGTGGGGCTGTTGCTAGCCCTTAGCATGTCTCTGTGCTAATCAAGAATGGTGCCCCTTCCATGGTGTGCACACAGCTCTATGCCTGAGAGACAAAGTTGGACTGCTCAGGGGCATGACTCACTCAGCTGGGCCTTCTTATATCCTTAAGGAACTTCTGAGGCCACTGAAGGTATAGCAGGAACATGAAAGTCATATGACAAAGTCATGTGACAATTCTTGGTGGTGGGGGCATGAAGATTGGGATCTCCGCTTAATGACTGAAGAGGCCCTTACCCATGAGAGCAGATCTTTTCATTGAGTCCTTCTTTTGAAATGTGAGAGGATTAGTTGCCTAATGCCCTGGTTCTCCACCAAGGGAAATTTTTGTGAGCACTGTGACGACATCTGGAGACATTTTCTGTCATCATGTCAAAAGGAAGGAGTGTGTTCTTGGCATTTGGCAAGTAGAGACCAGGAATCTTGCTAAATACTCTACAACACCCAAGACAGGCCTGCAATAAAGAATCTTCTAGGGGCTTGGCTTGTGTTTTGATACAGTAGGCTAAGTCATTGCCTGTGATGCTGGCATCCCACATGAGGGCCAGTTTGTGTCCCAGTTGCTCCATTTCCAATCCACCTCCCTGCTAATAGGTTGTGAAAACAGTAGAAGATGGCCCTGGTGTTTGGGCCCCTGCTAGTCACATGGGAGACCTGGATGAAGCTCCCGGCTTTGGCCTGGCCCAGTGCTGGGCATCGTAGGTATTTGGAGAGTGAACCAGGAGATGGAAGATCTCTCTCTTTCTCCCCCTGCCTCTTCCCTCCATCCCTCACTCTTTTTTGCCCTCTCTCTGTAACTTTGACTTTCAAAATAAATAAATAAGTCTTTAAAAAAAGAGTCATTTGGCTTCAAGTATCGACAGTGCTGAGGGGATAGATCCTGGCCTGATTCTGGCCCGAGTCAGCCTTGGTCTCTTCTCTTTCGCTGGCTGTGACCTACTTGCAAAGTATTACCTTTTCCTTTAAAGACTGCTGACCAGGTCTTGCCTTCTTTTTTGTGATCTTTAAGAATATTAACTAAATCAAAATATGGTGTCATTTATTACTTCTGTGAGGACTTAGAAGATGGTCTGTATTCCCCTTATGATGTATAAAGGAAATCCCCTCCCCCACCCTCACCCCGGATGCTTAGCTTTCTAGATTTAACACCAGTAGTTGTGGCTCTTCATGACACCCGTCCCCTAGCCCTGAAGGCTCCCAACCTGTAATGATTCGAGCTTTTGCTGAGGCAGGGGTTTGAATCACATGAGCTGCCAGGCTGGTGGGGGGAAGGGTGCTGGGGGTGGTTGGGGGGAGGAGAGGTGATTTGCCAGGAAATGAGTCTGGCTGATAGTGTGCTAAGGATCTGCATGGCCACGTGGCCTCATCATTTCTCTACCTGTTCTTTCTTATCACAGCCTAGACAATTTACAATGTTTCCTTGTTATGAAAAGGAAGATTAAGTGTTAGTGCAGAAATGAGACTTGCTGTATTTTCAGTCAGAAAATATAACTTTTGTTGGAAAAACTCCATATTGTCTTTGTGCTTGCTATTTCAAAGTATTTCCTATTATTTCCTATTATTCACTTTTCTGGTTAGCACCTGCACTGGAAGCATTTTGAGTTCTTAGGGAGAAAGGTGCTATTTCAGGTAAAAAGATTTAAATGGCATTATCTAATGGACACATACTTTCTGCCTGCATTTTGTCAGGAAATATGAATTATGCATTGGCCCTTTCAGCTACATTCACATGCATATAAAATAACATTGTCAGACATGTCATCCCCAGATACAATGGACAATATGCTATTATAATTGTATGGCATTGTCCTTGCTGTTTGCAGATAATACTGCTGACATTATTCCTCTCATACATGTGAATGTGGCTGTAGGGAGTACGAGACATCTGTGGCTTTCACACAGATTAGCTTATCCCTTGCCACTTGGAGAGATTGTCATTAGTGGGCTGGCCTCGTGGGGTCATGGGTAGTGCCATGTTTTGGATCACAATTGTTAACGGACATTAGTTTTAGACTCAGTAGAGCATTAGTAATGTTTATCTTGGTGACCTGAAGGTGCAATGGTTGTTTAGTCAGCTCCCCAGAGCAGATGTGCTAAAGAAGGGATAGACAGAGATCCTCCTACTCTGGGTGGTTTGAGGATTGAAAAGGCAATTGGGGACCAAGCCTGGGAATGGCTACCGTCACATTATTGCATCACCAAAGAAGCAATGATATTATCACTTGTATTGGTCTTTATGGTTCACCAAGTGCTTTCACACATACCATTTCACTTAACCCTCCTTTACCTGTAGGGTAAATATTCCTGTCACATTGATTTTATAGGTGAGGAAACAGGCTCAGAGAATGAGTTTTCAAAGCTTTTACTGCTGAACTGTAAAAGAGCCTGTCCCATTCCATTTCTCATTTAGAGATAATTATTTCTTTTGCAGGCTTAACACATGATACAAATGAATTTCGTTGTGTTTATGGCCAAGAAATTAAATGGCTTAATATTTGCCATGCTATTTAACTCACACAAATGCTGTGTGATTTATCTTACTTATTCTTGATGACTACAAAGTCAGAATAGCTAAGAAAATTAAGTGTTTGTATTGTCTATACCTATATTTTATCTGTTTTATTGAGTTTAAGAATCTTTGGTTCTAATTCTTTTTGCCTATTTTAAGAAAGCAAAATGTTTTTGAAGACGTAAACAAATGAAAGATATTGATTGTTGAAATTATATCTGAGTAGTAGTGCATTTGCATATTTTAGGAAATTTGTGGCAAGAAATAATAGACAGTTCTGCCTAAACTGGTTCCTTAGGGACAAAGCTGAAGAAAGCTGTGGATGGGTGGACCTTGGTGTGGAAATAGTATGTTCTTTCTTAGCTATATGAGAGCTTTGCAGGGTGAGTTTGACCAAATTATTTCTGTGTCTTTATTTTTCTTGGTATGATAAATGTGGAGTTCAGGTCAATTCTGTTGATACTTTTTTTTTTTACCTACTTTTTGGAGGATATTTAGATATGAGTTCAATGTCTTAAGAAGGAAATCTCTTGGTAGATAGAGGAATTATAAGTTCATTAATGGGCTGCACATCCAAACGCAGGTTCTGATGCTGCAGGCACATGTAGATCTCCTCTCTGTATTCAGAAAAGCACACAGTGAAGAAGAGTTGCTTTCTAATATTCTGCCCAAAGGATCTGTGGGGTTCTCTGAGCCACGGGCTCTTGCATTGTCTTCCAGAGATCTGAAGAAAGAACAGCGTTAACACAGGAAAATGGATCCTGGAAAGTGGAAGGAACAGCAGACATTACCCCTGGAGGGTCTACTCCTTTGAGAAGTGTTTATCTATAGATGTTTCTTTGTGAGATCCATCTATTTTCTATTTACTCCCCAAAGGAAATATTCTTAATCAGGGGTTCTAATTGGCAGGACCCTCTTTCCCATTTGATAGCCTTTGCTTGCTTAGAATTAGCTGTGAAACATTGGAACGCTTCTAACCCACCAATGTACCTGCTGCCCCCATCCCCTCCCACCAGTCATATATTTTTAAAGTTTGTTTACTTTGATTTATTTGAAAGGCAGGGAGGAGAGAAAGAGGGAAGAGAGTAGAAGAGAGGAGAAGAGAGGAGAAGAGAAGAGAGGAGAGGAGAGGAGAGGAGAAGGAAGGGGAGGGAAGGGGAGGGGAGGGGAGGAGAGGAGAGGAGAGCAGAGGAGAGAGAGAGATATTTTCTATCCTGTGGTTCACTCTCAGGTATCCACAGTGACAGCCAGGGTGGACAAGGTTGAAGCTAGGAGCCGAGAACTCCATCCAGATCTCCAGCATGGGTGGCAGTGACTCAAGCACCTGAGCCATCAGCTGCTGCCTTCCCAGGATGCACATTAGCAGGAAGCTGACTTGGAAATGGAGGCAAGACCTGAACCCAAGGCACTCTACTGTGGGATGCAGGCACACCAAGCAGTGGCTTAACTCACTGTGCCACAGTGCCCACCATGCCCCCTCCCCTGCACCCTCAAGCCCAACAACCAGACCTTTTAGATTTTCTGTGGTTTTTCTTGGTGTGCATCTTCTACAAAAAGAATGCCTAATGAGCAAAGCCAGGGACAGGGGCTGGAGAGGAGGCTTTCCAGCCCAGGGAAACTTTTCCTGTCTGTTTCCTAGTACTATCATTGTGTGAGCTGAAAGGGCTGTAGGCACAGTTTATGGGATCAGTTACCACCAGCCCACTGCTAAACATTTTTAAAAATCTGTGGTGAGGAGAAAACAGCAATAATTAAAATTAAGTGAACAGCTTTTGCTCTATTAAGGCATTAAGTCTTTGTGTAAACACATTCACACTGTGCAAACCTAGGTCTTTTCAGTTGGGTGATTTAGATGGCGAGGCCACTGGGTCAAGGGCCCGTGTTGGCATGGTTCGGAAGGTCACCTGCTCCTTTGCGCCTGTATTCGGCTGCAGACGGCTTCGAGTGCAGTGGTTCCTTGGCTGCTTGCTGCAGCACAAAGAGAAGCCGGCTGGCATTTGGCAGAGAGCGCTCCGTGACAAGGGGGGGAGGAGAAAACTGCGCACACAGCGAGCCTGCCGCATAGGAGCCAGTGGGGAGTACTTGGGAACCTCCAGGGCCCAGGCAATGAGGCTGCTTGAATGTGGAGAAAACAGCAGTTATAAAATATAAATGTGTTTATTATTACACTGGGCCTATGCTATATAATTTTACACACACTCATATTTGTGATTTATGGCCCCAGCTCCATATGGAAGAGAAGCCTGCTAATTTACTCAAATTGATAGGGCGGCCTCTGAAGATGATCAGATGGAAGGAGCACGAGCTGCCCCCAAAACGATTAAAAAACAAAAACAAAACCAAAAAAACAACGAAGAAGAAGTTGGGGGAGGGTGGGGGCGGCTGCTATGTAAGCGGCTTCCTTTGTTCATTTATTTTGATAAGCAGAGCTTTGCTTTAATTATTCATGATAATGCTTGCCCTGGAAAGAGCAGGCCCCTGATGGCACAGCTGCCGCCGGCTGGTGTGAGTTCTCTGTGCTCTTAACACTGGAAAGGCCCGCTTGGCTTTCCACGGGATTTGTCCTGCTTTCTGCTGTGCGAGGTGAGAAGCAGCTAGGTTCCATTTACACCCAGTGCCTCGGCTTTAGGGGGTGGAGCGGGCACTCACGGGCTGAAATGGAGGAGAAATCTTCAGTGATAACAGCCGTTCTGGCACATTCCCCATCTGTGGGGCACCCGTTGAATCCTTGTAAGGTAGGTGGTGATGTTCCCATCTTCAGGATGAGAAAATGGAAGCCTAGGAGGGCTCGGGGATGCCTGTTCACAAGTGTGAGTCGCACTCCGGAGCTGGCTGCCTTGCAGTGTTGTGTTCGGCTTTCCTAGGGAGGAAGCCAGGAAGAGGGTGCTGCTGGAAAGACCCTGCCCCCACCTTGCCACCCCAGCCCAGACCATTTGCTGTGCTTTCAGCTCATTTCCTGGTCTTTGCTTCCCGAAGTGCTTCTTGGCAGAATGTTGAGGCCCTTGCTCTGGGAGCACTTGAGAAGGAGAGCATTTTGGAACAGCATGTGCTGGATCCCAGGTTCTCAGAGCATCTGTGATTGCCACATCTTATAGCCGAGCTTCACACAGACAAGCTACTAGATTTGACCACATTTTCCATAGAAGTGAAAATACTAGAGGATGGATACATCCGCTCTGCTTACCGTAGCACCCTCAAGATATCCTTGGTGCGCATACTTCCAACCAGCTTCCATCTCTTTGGGGCACTGCTTCCTGAATGTTTTGTACTTGGCCACTTCCCTCCATCTCTACTGCTATGAGTGTGTCATCCAAGGTCCAGCCATCATCTTCTCTCTCCTGGGAGTTGGTAGGGCCTCCACGCTGGTCTGCTCATTGTCCTCTTCGGCCCATTCTCCATTTGGTAGCCAGGGTGATGCTCATAATTTTTTTTAAATTTTATTTATTTATTTCGAAGTGGGGCATGGTGGGGAGAAACAGAGACAGAGGCAGAAACAGATATCTTCCATTTGTTGGTTCACTCTCCAAATACAACAACCAGAGCTAGTGAGGCCAAAGCCAGGAGTATGGAACTCCATCCAGGTCTCCTGTATGGGTGTCAGGAACCCGAGTGCTTGGGCTAACATCTGCTGCCTCCCAGGTGCAGGAATGCTGGATTGGGAATGCAGAGCAGCTGGGCTGGCACCAGGTACTCTGATATGGGATAGCAGCATCCCAAGAGCCCCACCAGAGTGATATTTTTAAAGCTCAATTCTTATAAAACGTGCTTCTGCTTAAAACCTCACAATGGTTGACTTTATGTTCAAATTCTTTTTTTTAAGATTTTATTTATTTATTTATTTGACAGGTAGAGTTATAGACAGTGAGAGAGAGAGACGGAGAGAAAGGTCTTCCTTCCATTGGTTCACTCCCCAAATGGCCGCTACGGCCAGAGCTACACCGATCAGAAGCCAGGAGCCAGGTGCTTCCTCCTGGTCTCCCATATGGGTGCAGGGGTCCAAGCACTTGGGCCATCCTCCACTGCCTTCCCAGGCCACAGCAGAGAGCTGGACTGGAAGAGGAGCACCTGGGACTAGAACTCAGCGCCCATATGAGATGCCGGCGCTGCAGTTGGATTAACCTAGTGAGCCACCACGCCAGCGCCTATGTTCAAATTCTTAAACATGATCTAGAAAAATACTTTCCAATAGAAATATAATGTGAGCCACATATATAATTTAGAATTTTCTAGCAACCATAATTTAAAATTAATTATGCTAATTAATTTTGATACTGTATTTTAGCTAGTTAAATATATCTGAAATATTATCATGTTAACA